TCGCTTTTTGCGTCCTTTTATGATCGTATCAGAGACCTCTTGTTTAAATTTTATTTATCCAAGGATTGGCTAAAATGCATTATGAAACTTTTGGTTAGATTCAATCTAACTATTTTTATATTTTTATCTAATAAATTTACCTATTTTAAATACGTTACATGTGGCGAGGCTCATGGGTCAGTCGGCTGTATCATGAATTTCTTCTTTCCAGCTAAATGCGTCCACTGTTTCGAAAATCATACCGCCAAATTCAGGGAGTTTCGGTTTGAGAATGACGTTTTTTGTGTAGTTCAGTGTTTCCCAACCTTTTTGTACTTAATGCCCTTTTTAGATTTTAAAAATCTCATACACCCCCTCCTAATTAATATTTTTAAAAGATTAACATTTTATTTTTAATAAGTTATTTAATTATTGGAAAAATATAATTTAGCATTTTAACGCTACAATTTAATTTTTTATTTAAATACCTATTATTATTATGAATTATATAATTTGATTTCGAAATTGCTAATATAAAATAATAACACAAAAATACTTATATGACCAATGACTGCATTGAGATTGATGGTTAAGTTAACCGCTTGAAATGGTCCCGCTAACGAAATTATATCTGGCTCAAAAGAAGTCAGCATTAGACTTCATTATCTCCTCTTTCACATATTTTTAATTTTTTTCTTGATTTGGTCAAAAGTTGTTAAACCACACTAAAGCCTTTTTCGACCAGGTTAGGACGGAAAAGCCATAATAAATAATTCCACTTCTTTCCAAAATTGAGGATATATAATATTTTACCTACATAATTCTGTATATCACATTTATATCGTATTCTATGCAGTTATACATTTCATCACAATCAGTTACAAACAATACAAATGAAATGTGAATGATATGTACCCTTTAACGTTGGTACTAACTGGTGTAGTTGAACGAGACGACACGACGATTAATGTTTTTACTCGGTGCGTTAGCGCTCTCTATACACGGCCATCCTACGTGCATCCTGCCGCGACGTAACGGACGTAGATCGCAGTACATAACGTGATACGTGTCGATCAAGATTATATTTAATATTTCACAAACATAGATTATTCAACAATAAGGCGAAACTGTAATATTTCTAATTGCGGTTTTCTAACCGACGTTTAATATCTATCTGTTGCACGGGATCTCCTTCAGTAACAACAGGAATATGAAACCCATCAGTCCGGCCACGAGTGTGAACACGTGTAACCAGTCGATATCTGAAAGAAAAAGTGTAATTAATGCAATCATAATTATTCATCCTAATTCGATATCACGCGTTATAGTCGCAAGTCAAATAAAATAGCGCTTCGACCGTAGTCGAAAAGAAAACAAAAACAATCGGTCCTGAAGTCTTACGTTTTTTCCCCTTAAAAGTACTGAACAGTCAATGAGAATCGATTTCGATTTGTTGTCGGGGGAAATAAAAATTTAACTCTTTACACGCTCGGTCGTTTCTATTCCATGTATAATTGGAAAGTTTATAGGTTTTAAACGTTATTTATCGATAATTTTTTTCTCTTTCTATCCAAAAATAATCTCAAAATTTAAATCGTTTTCAACCATATACGTTTCGCAACGTATCCCAACTGAGTTTCCGAACTGTTTGGAAAAAAAACCGATCACGTATCGAATTATATGATGTACGGTGATGATGTTATCGTTTTATGCTGTCTGTTGCACACAGTGGAAAAGAAAAGTCCATTTGTGGTAACATATCGTTCCAGTAAAAAAAAAAAAAAAAAAAACCATAACGTATTTCGTCTCATAAAAATGATTATAGTACACATATCGTACAAATTCTTCTAGTAATCGTTTTTGTAAAGCACGTCGAAAGCAAAAACGGAAATAAGAAAAATATGTTAGATGACGTGAAAATACGATTATTCTTTGAAACTCTATCGGAGGATGATGAAATAAAGATTAACTTTTAGAAATTCTATTATCAAATGAACCCTTAACATATGAACATTGAACTCTGATTTAATACAACTGAATTCAGTTATATTTTACATACAAAAATAAGAATACCTGACGTTATTTTTTTACTCCTCAGGGCGTTGTATATTCAATCATTAATGTATTATATTTCAATAGACTGCGTTGTTCTTATATATATTATTTCGTAAAAACGTTCGTTGTTTCCATCTATAGTAATATTTCACGTTTGCCTAACACGAGTTGACTGAACTAGTGTATACAGTATAGAGGAATGATCGAATACAATTATTTTGGAAGGCTCAAAATAAATTGTTTCAAATCCATGTGGAACAACACAATTAAAGATATGAATTAGAACTATGAAAAATGCTCGGTTTAAAGAAAACAATTTTACATTTAATTATATTTATACGTGTGGGTATATGTGAGTCATAGATTCAATATAAATTGTTTTATAGCTCTCGTATTCAGTTATATTTTATAATTGCTGCTATTTATTATATTTTTTCATCGTATGCCAAATCGTAAGCCCACATGATTACGACCGCGCTGTATGTAGTTCCAAATCGATCAGGTTTACGTAAAAGGCATATCACGGTGAGGTGGTACTGAGTGTTCGTGTAATTTATATTATTGATAGTCTTGTTACAATTATATAAATCGTATTTTAAAACTTAAATTTTATAAAACGGCTTTTAAGACGTACCAGTCACGTTTTGAACTTTAAAATATATATTTAAAAATGTTTAAAATAATTAAATCTATTTTAAACCGTGTTACGAACCAGGTAACGTATTGAAAGTGTAACGTGTTAAAAGTGTGCTCTTTGAATTTTAAAATCCCCTAGATCTTCCATCTGGATCCATCCGTGTTTTGTTTTGTATTTTTTTTTTTTTTTTTACGGAAACCCGAAGTCATTTACTCATCTAACCCTGCGGCGAGCGCGTGATATTCGTAATATTATATGGTACAATTGTAGATACATACGGAGTTCTGGAAAAATAGCCAACAGCACGTACAAGCAACTCTCCAAGATGATTCTCAGCGACTCGACCAGGCTGACGGCCACGTTCTCCGGGAACGGGTGCGCGTGGTCGGCGGCCAGCTCGTACAGCAAACTGTTGGCGGACCACGACAACGGGAACGCGAACAAGACGGCAACGATCAGGTGCATCATGAGGTCTAAACATATCACGCCCGTAAGTCCAACGAAACTTACCATTGTAAGGACATTAATATAATGTAAGACACTTTCTTTAAAGGTTTTATTTATTTTAAAATATGTTATCTTCTACGAGGCTCACGTTCATTGCTCACCGAATGAGCGATTTATTACGTTAGTGGTCGCGCGTCGACCGATGACATTATGAAGATAAAACAAAATCAATACAACAATTCGTATAGAAAACGGATTACACGGACCAACGGTTTAGAATATTCAATAAATATTTATTTTCGACAAGCGTTTACCGGTTAAATGAACACAGCCCAGGCATTAAATCATACCGGTGACTGGTTCGAAACGAGGTTATATTTATTTGGAAAATGAGCGTATTCTAACAACATTTTCGGATTCCCCTAATTATCGGACGGCGCTCCGAATAGGCAATCCAGGTGCATTTGTGGGCGACAAACGATTTTTACGCCGCACGCAATCGACAGTTTGACCAGGAATATCACATAGTTTTTAAGTTTTATTGAACCACACGATTTACAAGTTTTGTAAATTATTGTTGAGATAAAGTAGATCATTTTGAAAAACTTAAAAATGATCATAACTATTTAATGACATTAAATTAAATTGCGATTATAATTTTAAAGAATAATTACGATTTTTGTGAATATTATTTTAGAAATTCCAACCGTACAAGTTAAAAAATAATAAGTGCCTTTGGCGATTTTTGAAGTGCGCTCCGTAGGTACCATCACTCGTTGTAGGAATGAGTTAGTTCTAAATTATTTCATTGGTTTTAATTGAAAATGTTAAACTTTGTTTAATTATAAGAATCGGGGCCAAAACTTTTTTCAGAAATGAATTTTAAATTATTCTGAAAACCTGAAAACGATCGCTCTCCTAAGTATCGACTAGATGAAATGTACTTTGTTGCAACGCGTAAGTGGGTGCGTGAAAATTTTTAAGTAGACTATCGTCCTGCGCATTTGCGTGTAAAACGAGTGTAGACTTTTCGAAAAGTACACGTCATCGTCTGACGCGATCCTTGGAGTATCGTTCGCTCCGTTCAAAAAGATACAATCCCCCACTACCAGTTACTCTAAAACCTGATCCGACTCTGATATTCATCCCCACGGTCGGTTTATAACATTTACGCAAGCTCGCGGTACGAAAACGATTACGACGCAAATGGTATTGTATGTACGTTTTTACCCAAATTCCGCCGGATGCGTCTCATCACCGACACGAACCACAGGGTGCACACCGAGCCGAGCAATAAGCACGTCAGTCCAATGAGCTTGTTGGAACCGGTGAATTGATCGGCGAACCAGCACGCGGATAGAGTGAGCGAACACGTGTGAACGATCATCCAGAACCGGCAATCCACGCCGATCGACTGCGCAACAACGGCACAACAAGAACGCGCGATTAAAACATTATGTAATAATTTTTCGGATCGTCGTTTTCTTTTTTATTTTTTTTCGCTTACGAAGTGATTATCGTTTCGGTCGGGAAAGTGAAACGGTCGGATTTCGCGTTATATGGAACGTATTCGACGAAGATGCACTGCGAACGAAATGAGACCGAAACCGAAAAAAAAATCGTACAAATCAAATGTTTACACGAAAAACAGCTAATCTTTAAGGGCCAGACTGTAATGACTATGCGGTTAAAAATATGAAAAATCAATACTTATCCCAAAATCGTTATTGCGACCAGAATATCGTACCGTCAACGTTCAACGTTTAACGAGAACTTAACTTGAAACTCTCGCATCAGAATTCAACGCAATTAATGCAAATATCGGGAAATATTATATTGAATGAAAGAAACCGATTGTAAACCAGAAAACGCGGGATGTTTTTACAGAATCGGTTACTCGATACCTGTATGCGATTTTACTCTGTTCGGATTTGATTATACGGACTGCGATTGCAGAATTTCTCTAACTCATTTCGGACGGCAGTGCACGCAGATTAGGTAATATTATAATAATATACGATGACGTTTACGTATAACGCGTGTTACGTATAACCGTTTCACGCTCGACCGGGATCACCGTTTGAACCCACAGTTACACGATAGCAAATAATAATATCATTTTAACTTATATAATGAAATATGCCTGTTAGAAGCTACTACCACCACCGTTATGCGCATTTATTATGTTCGGGTGGTCGTTTGTCGTCAACCTTTTGACGGCGGAAACGAACAACCAAAAACGATTCTGCGTACAAATTTCAATCCCGCTACCTATGAACACTAGCGACCCGAAGAACGATCACGGCGCAGGCATGTTATTTAAATTTTAAATTACGATACACGTGCGTGGGTGTGGCTTTAAAACGTCAAAAACCGTTTTTATCACTTCCTCGTCGAAATCGAGTTATCGAATCGGTCGTGTTGTTAAATTATTATAAGAATATTGTATTGCGCAATTACTTCGACTGTCAAAGTCGTCGGGATGCGAGAAAACGACGAGTCCGACCGATTCTGCAAAAGGATATCGTCACGATAATGGCGGGAATGGATTATAGGGTGAATTCGACAAAGGAGTCTTGTCCTCACCTGTGGAAAGTCCATCGAGGAATAGGTGACGTCGATCATTTGGTACCAAGGCCACGAAAACGCATTGGAAAGCGCGTAGGATAAGGCGATGTACAGAAGACCGACGTTGCTGCGGGAGGAGGAAAAATTAATAATTACAATCAACGGCCAATCATGTTATGATGCAGCGGATATTCGTTTGATATATACTTATACAAGTATATACATATTGCATTACGGCGCACGGGAAATTAATTTAATTTGGAATGCTGTCTAGTATTATTATATACTAATATATTAATACTAATATTAGTGTAGTTGTCTAGTATTTTATTTTATGAAAACAACCACTCTTGTGTATTGCTTCGCCGTGAAACTACCGAAAATACAAATATCTTCTGTACAATATTCGATAAAATTTATTGCGTTGACAGACGTTTGACCAAGCGATGGCTTTGGTGGCTTACAAGGTCCTTCCTAGCTGAACATTTTAATGCAATTGCAGTTGAATTACATTTACATCATTTTTTCGATACGTATTTACTAATTTCCGGGGTACGATTCGTATCAAAAACATTTCAATCGAAATAAAACAAATAACTATTATAATAATAACAAATACTCGTACATAATTTACTAATATGAAATCTCGAAAAGTATGTTTTCAGTCTATATTGGTAGAAATATTTGGAAAAAAAATACTTGACAATTTCTTCAACTCGTAGTTCTATACCCAATATTTCGTCTATTTTTTTTAGTGTACAATTTAATGCAATTTATCCTTACCATTTATACGAATTCAAAAAAGAGCATATACAGACAGCATACCGTATAAAACAATTAGTTCGTGAATATAGGTTAGTATAATAAGGTAAGTGTATATATATATATATATATATACATATACACATTATTAAAAACCAAACGAGTATACCTCGTTCGAATATTTTTCCACTTCGTGGTGAAATTTTTTTTTTTAACCTTACTCAAAACTGGCGTTCGTCATAAATGATTTTGACGGCAATAATTGTTGTCGGTTCACTGAGTAGCTTAATTCCGATGACGACGATTCCTGCGGGAAAAACACCATCACCAACAGCGTGCAGATGATATTCGCGGTAAAACCTGCAAACAAACGATGCAAGGGCGGGGTAGGGTAGGACGCGTTGAAGTATAATTGATTACAAATTGGTACACGCAGTGGCGTATCTAAGAGAGACTTAGGAGTCGATTCCATCCCCGAAACTTTAGAAACTTATAATTCATTATACATTAGTAATTCGACGTATACGAGTATTTATGAAATTTGTTAAATTGGTGTCCTTTTTTTTTTTTAATTGAAAAAAATTATTTGACATAATATTATAGTTATTCTCCCTTTGAAAAACCGTCAGTATGCCACTGAGTACACTCGTGGATTTCGCCACGCACTCACAGCCGTACATGATGTACTCGATGATGATTTTCCACTGAACGTTGGTCATGGGCACGAAAAATGACGGTTCTCGAAGTTCAATGGTCACTAAGAGACCCGCGGCCGAGCCCATCATAGTCGCGATGGTCAGAATTCCTGAGGACGTAATAGAAGTAAATGATGAAATGGAATATTATGTTCGTTCTACTATGCGTAGGTATATATAATATATAGTATATAGGTATATATACTAAACGTAGGTACGTTTTATGTTTTTATGTATACAATTTTTACCATTCTCTTACCTGTTGCCATGTTCCTCTCACCGATCCGAAAACAACAAGTAGATATGGTCACCGTCAGAGGTTTCGCGATGATCGAACCAATGGACAAGAACACGGCGGATGCGTGGACCGCACTGCAAAATATTGACGTAGGTGACGAAATATTTTAATATACTATCAGTTTTTTCGTAATGGTGTCCCGACCACCCCGACAGACGTTCCTGATGAAATTGCGCGGGCAAAACCGATATAATATATACCATTTTAGACAATAACATGGCGCATTAAAATTCATACCTGACGAATTCTTCGTAGTAGTGCCTGTACAGTATATCTCTATTCGGCTTAGGATTATTATGACGGGACCGAAAACAATCTTATACCCTACACGCACTCATTGCAGTTTCACTGTTCCTATAACGCGTGATGGGTACAGGGAAAGAAGGGTCTAATCATTGAAATTATTGATTTTTTTTTGGCAAATTTTGTTTTTGTTCTATCGAAAAAATGTTACAAATGGACTACTATCTTTTCCTCCGGTGTAGCCTTCATATGTTATTATTTATACTCACAACATCGATTCTTCGAAGAACGGCAAACACCGTATGGCCGTGCCGCAAGTAGTCACTGCACACGAACACAAGAGGCTGGTCTTCATGCCTGAATAATATTTGACGATCAATTAAATGGAATAATTCGATTTGCGTTGGTTATGATTGCCTTTCGACAATGGATGGGCTTCTCGAAATTATCATCTTCCGATAGGACGTTATTACAACGATTCGCTATGTACAATCTTACTTCGATAACAATAAATAATCTCACCATATTTGTTGATACCGATGCTGGCCGGGATCATCAACAATACGCCCGTAAAGGTGTTCCAAAAAGGTATCAATGCCAATGACGTCTGCGACCACGCCGGAAAAGCTGTTAGAGCTGGTCCGAAAAGCGGTACCCAAATGTCACGTGAAAACATCTGTAAACCATCGTTTTTTGTCGTTTCATTATCGAACCGATCGCAGTAATTCGGCTTACGTTTTCGATCACAATCAATCATAACCATTATTTTTTCCTTGGATCAATTCCGACTTGAATAAGAATTCGTAATTTCGGTTCGAGAAAAAGAAAGCGTTAAAACTTTTTGACAGCACTCCCGAACATAGAATACTTTATTAATTTTAAAACTTTTTCCGTAATTTTCGAAACACGATATGATTTACATTTACATTTTATTACTTTTTCTTTTTTTTTTTTTCAAAGGTTTGTTAAAGTCATATTTTATAACGGTAAAACTATAGTGACGTACCGTAACCGACGCGAATGCATTATGATACGACATGCCTATGTTCGGAACTCGCGTCACTTATTACCCATTGCGTGTTTTTAACGAGTAAACCGACGATGGCGGTGACGTAATTCTTAATGAATAAAAATAATAAATCGTATAACGATACGATAAATATAAATAAATAACATAAATTCGATAACGTAGAAAATATTGACGAAATCCTCGCTGTAGCGTAAGACCAAGAAGCTCATAGTTACGAAGTCGCTCGCCGCTGGAAGTCCTAGTGAGGTTTTTTATCGCGAACAAACCCGTTACCAAGTAATAAAAACGTTAAAATATTACAACACGCAGATCGAATGCGAAAGATCCCCGTCTTGATAGTACCGACCACTTGAATATCGTGTATTATTCATTGTACGTACCTGCACTAGGAACGTCAAGGATACCAAAATGACGACGAACACTCGGTCCTCGCGTCCCGGGACGTAGGTCGGGTGTTTTATGAACTGCTTAAAAGACGATTCAGAATAACGCGGTGTGGACGGCACGCGATACATCTGATCGTCATTTTTTTCGTCGTCGCCGCCATCGTCCGAAAAGCTCAAGTCTACCTCCATGGGTCGGTCCGTGACGGCCCTGTAGTTCTCGATCGACAACCTCGTACCGTTCATCCCTTCGAAAGCGCCCTTTAAAATCAAATTTACTAGAGTTCGCGTTGCATATTCTTAAGCAACTATCGGGCGTGCACCGCCCATCCAGTGCCAATCGATTATTTGATAAGTGTATAATGAAAAACTGCACGTACGAATAGGTTATAAATAAAACGTCGATATGGCTACAAACTTCCCTCCCATCCCGTATACGTGCGTATAGTTCATAGATAACGACGTTTGTAATGGTCAGGTTGCTTTCATTCCGAATAGGATGGAAAAGTGCAAATTTAACAATGAGAGCAGCCGCATTGTCTAGCTAGCACATCAATTGCGCACGGGGATTTCATTCGGAACACGATACCCACCGTCCATTTCGATGCATCGGTCTATTTATTTTTGTTTTAGAAAAATAAAATAAATCGTGTTTTATTTGAATTCGAAATATCTAATATATTGGAATTTCCTTTAAAATATCGGGAAACATATCCATTCACAAGAGGTAATATAAATTAAGCTATCAGGGGCATAACATCCAATTTTCCCCGACCGGCTATGTGATCAAAATACTAGACCGTCCCGTAACAGGGGTGTGGGCGGTAGAGAGAGGAGAAGAAATCTATCAATCGCCGCTTCACCCTTGCCCGTCAATGTGGTTGGGATATTATATTACATGAAATCGAACGAGCAGCGAGCGTGTCTCGACGTCGTGAAGCTTGCCGCCGGCGACGGTTTGCGTATTCACTCCTACGCGTATCTATCGTAATCCCCAAACCCATTGACGCGCACGTTAAAAGAAATATTTAATTTTCCGCAGACGTCACTGGGTCGTCGTCGTGTTAATGTCGATTTCGTTGAGCAGTCTCCACTTTTTTTACAGTTGCTTCACAACCGAAAAACTAATCACACAGACACTCGATTTACATATTATTTTTTCGTACGTACTGCCATTTTTTTTCTTTCATATCTCATTAAAGTCCATTCTTTAACTTCAATTGTTTTGTTTCAATCGTAGTTTTTATAAAATTGTACTCACTATTGGGTTTAGCTAATATTATTCGAATAATTGCACTTCAGCGAATAATAAAATCACATTAGATAATAATTTGTATACGAATCGCCGGTACGGACGAGACCTAAGAAATCGTTGCTGCTGTTGCCTCTCAACGAAAATAACATAGCGTTTGTGTAACAAAATATTACAAAAAACCTAAACCAAAGAATTGACGGGGACTACGAAATCTCGCGGTCATTGACGCGGACCAGATGATTGATGGATGAGTGGACGTAATCGTGGTAAACGCGGTGCTTTTATATTACACGGAATAGCGCGGTCGATCAGAAAAATAAACGAGCCCCGACGGAGTTCTAAAAGCGGACTTGTGGGTAGATAGTTGTACATTGAAAACCGGCCCACCAACGTTCCCGAACGAGCGCTGTGCGTTTGAACGGTTTTCACGTGGTCCGCGCGACTACGTCAGTGTCCCTTGAACGCGTAAAAAGTACGAACAGCACGCGATCGGCGACGCGACGGTCGCGAAAGGGGTGGTTTTTGTTGATCTTTTACCTTGGCTCGTTCGTAAATCAATTGCACGTTAGCCATCACATCGGATTTTCGTTTACCCGTCGTGTCCGCCACGGGTTTTCCGCGCATCTTGCCGACCCGTTCGCAGTTTCGTTGTTCGCGCGCACACGTTGGACACACGTCGTCGGCGAATATCAGTCCAACAGCAACGGGAATCGGCGACGCGGCGCACCGGTGTTATGATGCACTGTTACGCGACGGGCCCGTGTAGCGATGGCGGCCGAGTTGTTTATTTTCCGCTCGATACGGCCTCGTTGACAACTAAACGGGTATTTGCGCGTCGCCACGATGAGCCGGTCGTCTTGTTTTAATTATTATAAAGTTTTCCTGACATTTGTCGTCTAAACTCAGCCGTAAAGTCCGACTCGTCCGGTCGTGCCCGCCGCGGAGCACGTCGTCCGGGTGGCCTACGGGCGCACGACATCGTCGAGAAATCTGTTGCCAGACCGGTGTTACGAACCCGACGTTTACTGGCCATCGCGTCAGCTGCTCAAATCTCTACATTGTTATGCGATATCACGTGTCGCGAATTTTTTCCCGACTGCGCATTTTATCCGATGACGAACGTTTTCATTCGAAACCGGTCGCGTACAACGCGCGAAATCGTAACGCGACGCAGTTTATTAAACTTCTCCGTTTACTTCTACGTTTATATTACATTGTACTAATCGTCGTGTGCCGTACGTCTTCCGTGAAACGATAACAGTTTCGTCTCGCTCGTCCGCGCGACGAAAATGGTCAACGGTTCGCGTCCCGCACACAATACGATGGAATTGCGTGTTGAGCACAAAATCCACGTGTACGCGAAGGAAATCACTTTTTTTTTCCCTTCCTTTTCTTCGTCTCCCCCGTGTTACATGTCAGCCAGTTATTCGAATAGATTTCTGCGTTTAAAGTGTTTCGAATACAGCGCGTAGTCTTGATTATCCGTCACGTACGCGACACGGCGAGATCATCGATTGAACAAAAAATTTAAATTTATTTATATTCGTTACTATTTTATTGCATTGCCTACGCCGTATGCATTTGTTCTTATATATTTTAATTTACTCCATACACGTACAACTTATATAATATTGGTTTGGAATGATTTGCAATAGATTTTTGTTAAATCTTCCGTTTTTTCAAAAATTCGTATTTTTTAAATCGGGTTTTCTACCGATCCGTTACGCGGTATAACGATAAAAACATTTTATGATCATATCGAGAGGGGGGAAGGGGAAAGTGAATAAATAATATGATGGATTGTAGAAAGCTCCCGGGGAGGCACTACGTTCCAACGATTTTTTACACCGGTAAAGTTGAATTATTAAAAAGACAATCCGAAAATAAATTCATAGCTGGGTGTGGTGAATATAATATTTATTATCGCGGAGGGCACCGGATTGACGCACGGCTTGATTATCAACACCTTGCTACCATCACTTTCTTTTGAAAAGCGTACGAGTGGCGTGCAGTGTGCTCCGAACACTTTTTACAATAATAACAAAACTGTTGCCGTCTCGATTTTACACTAGGAAATGTTACAACGATATTTGAACCACCGAAAAATATTTTATTGTTGACGAAAAGCGATACGCGAGTGTTTGAACCAGTCCATCAATCATTTTCGACATCTCAAACACCTTTATATGTTGCCAGTTTCTGACGTTCACGTGTAGGTACTCGTCTTCGCGGCGTTCAACTTTTTCTGCATTTTCATTCGTTCGTGTACACATGCCATTTTTCTTAATGCACTGCTCATCAATCTCCGCAGTACGTGTTCTATTTGCAATAAAAGCGAACCGCACTAGACCCATAAAGGTCCTTAGCAGTTTAAATGTATATAAATATACATAAAATGAGTGTCATCGTGTTTTACCGATTTTTACTTCGGCAATTAATATTGAAATCTTTTTAGTTTTTTATTTTTTAATTGTATATTGTGTTATAATTATAAACTATAAAGTTTTTATTTTCACCCCTAAATCACTTTAAAATAATTACTTTCAATCTCATTATATAAAATTTAATATAGCCATATTGTGTTAGCAATAAATATAAATAATAATAAGTAATAGGTAATAAGTAATAGGTAGTAATTCATGTACTATTTCACTATACATTTTATACATTTGATAATCAGAACTATTTTGTTCAAAAATACAAATAATCTGGAATAATAACTATTCGTATCGGAAGTTAACGACTGTAGTAATCTAAGGTGTAGTGTAAAAGCTGCCAGTAACTATTAAACTAAATTTATAACTGTTAATAAATATTCAACTAAAAAATTTTCTATACCCCTTCGTTGGAAATTAAAATAACTATTACTCAAGATAGATTCATCGGATATTTACGTATGTTATTGTTTGTAAGTTTTTAGAATAATTCCTCACACTGCGTAACTTTATTGACATTTGTATATTGAGAACAACTACAAAGTTAATTTTTTTAATCGACTAAGGGTTGAAAATAGTAATTGTATTTGTAGTTATATATGTTTCTCCCTAACACAATATACAATTGAACAAATAAAAAATAAAAATTGTCAATATTAACTGCCGATATCAAAATCGGTAAGACTTGATGAAATACTCTATATATATACGCCTTTAGTGTAAACACAAATGATGAACAAAACTGCTGGACTAGCTTAAATTCAAGATTAGCGATGACTTGTCGAAAAAAATTATAACAACTAAAACTACCCTCTTCGTCGTCTTCAATATTAAATTGCATCGTCTGAAATTCTATAATTAATGAGGGATTATTAGTGACTAATTATTAATTAGTGATTCTTGTGTTTCACGAGGCACTCGTTGTCGATATGTTTTGTTCAGCTCAGCCGACATAAGTTCTCAGTGGGAAGTTTGCTTCTAGTTCGAGTGGCCTGTCGTGGGACCGAAATTGTTCAAAGATTTACGGCAAAGGCAACTGTAATATTATATTACGTATATTCATCAACAACGGTGTTTTTTTTAGATTCTAAGCGAAACGAGTTTTTACCGTGATTTTTGTTTTTATATTCATATACGTGTAATATACGTGTAATGATATACGAGTACGTAATTATAAGAATTTTTAGCCATTAAAGTCCTAATTTTAAATCATTACATACGTTTCTTTTGATATGTATAAAGTTAACCGGTGTTATTTTATAACAAATAATCACGTTTAGCAAAAGTAAATTATAATTATTTTACCTGGAAACTTATGTTATAAAAAAAAGAGAAAAAAAAGATTCGTAGGTCGGACGAAACACGATGGTCGACTGAAATACACGGATAGTTAAATGATATTACGGTATTGGTCTTTAAACTTGAAAGCAAAGTACTTAGAAACACTATTTTGAATTAATGAGTTCGAATAGATAGGTTTATATTTTTAACGATGGTTAATATAGTAAAAGAACCAAATTTCTTAATAAAGTTGATTACATTTTATTATATTTTAGAATATTTTTATTATTATAAATTTTGATGGAAATAAAGTATCTGAAATTAGGGATAATAGAACATTTCAAGTGCCAATAAACAGCAAAAGATGCATTAAAATGTTTCAAATCTATGAAATGTCTTTAATTAAATAACTAATATCGTTACTGGAATTTTATTGAAATATGTGATTTCGTCAAATTTTTATTTTTTAATGCTTATAAATTATTTTTACGACTTTCTCGTTATTTATTAATTTATTTTTTTGTTTTATTACAATAAAGAATATTATATAAAAATTTTCTATTTAATTTTCAGGTCTTGAGTACAAAATTTAACAATTTATGAATTATTTACTACAAACATGTGACGGGATTTCATAATTTGTTTTATTTTGATAATATTTTATATTAATTTTTTTTTTTTTTTTATACTTAGCTTGAATTTTTTTTTTATTCAAATTTCATGTTTCTGCGATTACAATTTTATGAATTGCGATGAAAAAATGTGTTTGTATCGAAAACCGGTATTCCGTAATTTATGTCATATTTTTCGTCAATTTTTAGTTATGAAGAAGACTGTTTCAAAATTCGTAAAATAACTTGTTCGAAAAGAACTATTAGTTAGCTTTTTTATTTAAAAAATGTTCATGGTAGCGACAATTCGAGCTATCCATCTGATAGAAATAATGTAGGTATAAAGACTCAAAAAAAAAAATAGTGCGTGAAAAAATAATATGTGATTATTCATAGTAGATGTTCGAATCCAAAAAAAAAGAATCCACAAAAAATTGTTTTCTAGTTTTTGCAATTATTTTTCTAATTTTCTCAATTATTCCAAAGATTTTAGATAAATTAAAAATATGACCTTTTCAAAATACCAACAAGAACCCATTTCCTATCTTGTTCTTTGTATTTGGTAATTATCAGAGCACTCGTTTTGATCGAAAAAAAAACCAATACATTATTCTTTTCATTCGGATCCAAACACAACAACAATACAATTCGTATGTTTGGCACACAAAAACCATCTTTTGAGTTTTACACTTGCACAACACATATTTTGTTTGTTACATTTTTCGTAATGAAATATTAATGAAAAATAATTGTCATCATTAACTAAAATACGTCATGTAGAAATGGGCGACGAGTGTAAAGCAATTGTATTATAAGGTGGTCGCTTTTAAATGAAGTTGGTATGTTTTTTTGTGATTACGTTTTTTATCATTAATTTATACACAATATTTATATTTTATAATTTATTCGATGGACGGAAAATTGAAGTTTTTTGTTAGTTTTGCTGTTGTCGTGAGTTTCTCGTCCATAATAAGCGGGAATGACAAGATTTACCTCAAAGGTTAGTCACAATGATTTCGACAAATTGAAATACCAAATCAATTTTAATTTAAGAATAATTATGGAATAAAATAACACATTAATTCTTTTTTATTAAAAATTAAAGTACACGCGTCAATACAATTGTTACTATTTAGTGAAGCATTTTTGTTAAATAAAGTATTTATGTAAATCAATTTCAATTATTGTCTTGAACTATTCTCAACGATATTTAAGTTAATGTAAATAAATTTTTGCAAAGAAAAAAAATTCAAGTATAGTTTTTGTGTCTTATTAAATATGAAATAATTGTTCAAATTAAAATGAAATTATACATTCGATGATTTATCTTAGTGTTTGTTTGCGAAAAAATATTAAAAAAAAAAAAAAAAATGTTTAAACTATAAAAATATTTGGATTTCAGGTACATATCATTTGTCTATATTTTATTATCAGATTGAACCAACCGAACTCCGACATATTGTCGTAGACGCTCTGATTAAACAGCATAAGATTCAACAGACGCTCGATGAGAGTAGTTATAGTAACAGAATTGTTAAGAAATGGAGGAGTTTCAGAAATTATTTCACGAAAGCTATTTCGAAAATATTTGATCCGTCGTTTTACAGAGATGCGAAAACTGGAAGAACATTAAAAGATCTGTTACTCAACAATAAAAATATTACGAAACGATTAGGTTTTGTTATTCAGTTTCAAAATAAAAATCCATTGAACCGTAATATTGAGGAAAATAGGAGAAGATCGAAACGCAGAAAAATTAATAGGAATGATGATGTAAGCGACGAATACCCAGTTGAATCTGTTCAAAGTAGTAGCGAAGGTGATAACGAAGAAAACAACGTTCCTGAGAGAATACAAAATGGAAGACAATCGACAAAAGAATCTGATTTGGATAGTTTATTTGAATAAATTATAAGTAAAAATTAATTCACTATGAACAGAAAAAAAAAACATTGATGATTGAAATATAAAAAGTTTTATTTAGTTTTATAAGTTTAATTAACTTTATAATTATTATTGGTTTTTGTAGAATATTATAATAAAGCTTCATTATCGACTTAAAAAACCGGATTGAACTTATATTATGTTCCCAAATAATGTGCACGCAGAGGTATGGTTTGCTTGCGTCCCCGGAGAAAGGTGTTAATATCACACAACCGCGTGAAGTTGGTCACCGCGATCTAACAGAATAATTTACCATTCATCAATACGAATCAGTTTTCACGCACGTGATTAATTTTTCACGGGCCTAATTGCAGTAAGTTTAAAAGCTTATCCAGGTGTAGCTATTTTTGTTTTATACAATTTAATAGTTACCATACTTATATTATTTGATGTACGTAATATGCATAAATTATACTACGAATCTGAGTTAAATTGTACAAAACGTGAATAAATTATAATACACTATGGAAAAAATGTTTGTGATGTTTACGAAATGGAAACGATACATCTTATTTTTATTGAAAGATTCCAAAACCATCGTCCGCCTCACAGAACGCTTACGTATGCAATGCATATTATTGAGCGCAGTAAGATTTCAATTTTATTCGAGATCGGCAAGAGATGTATTTCTGTTTGCAACAACGATATTGATTACTATCCAGGTGATGGCACATTTGTAGAAAATAATTTTCGTGCATGATATTCCGTTCCAAGGATGTTGTATACAATTTTTTTTTTTTTTAGAAATGTTGCTACAAAAAATTTGTAAATTCCATTGACTCATATTTGAAAAGAAAATGCGGTTGGAAATGTGTTACTTGGAGAGGTTCCCACGCCGATAAATGGCATGTTGCACTGGTTTGAATATACGTCATTTTGACGCAGTAATATCGACGCGCGTCAAATGGACGCGGTCATTTGGACAACAAACTACAATTGGGCACATGAGTCAATTTTGACGTGATCACTTTTAGACGTGAGTCAATGTTGACGCAAAACAAAAATAAAATATATATATATTATTAGGTAATTTCAACGTAAAAATCTGGTATCTGTATTAGTGATGGGAATTATTCGAATATTTGAACACATTTTATCATTATTTTTATTACGGTTTGCTGTTCAATTAAACCTAAATCATTAATAAAACATACCATTCTATTTAATTAATATATAGAATAATAAAAAATACTATTCAATTTAATAATAGGTACATGTAGAATAATTTAAATAAATAATAATCATGAAATTTATAAAATAAAAATTTATTATTAATTTTTTATTTACTATTTATTAAAAATTGTAAATTGTGCGCAATACCTTGAAGCACTTTGTCGGTCGTTAAATTATTTGAATTAGTACATATTTGAAACAATCTTTTTGATGAATCTTTATACTTTTTTTTTAGTTGGTGCATAACAAGTAATTAATTGCTTTTTCGTTATTTTTGTTAAACTTTCATCACTTTGCAATGCACTTATAAATCTCCATATGACTGGTTTTTTACATGTAATTAATGTTCAAAATGCATTATGCCAGCCCTCAATACTGTTATTGGTCCTCGGTAAATCATGTTGAAGACATTCTGAACAGTTCCATATTTCAATAGGATATTTTGGTTGTCTACGTCGACCTCGCAAGTCCAAAATTCCGATCCACGTACCTTCTAAATAGGTGATTAGTGGATATAACATATTTTCGTTTTCAATATAAAACTCGCTCTCTAACAAAACTTCAAAATAATTTATTACTTTGTCAACAGATATAAAAGCGAGCGATATTAATTTTCGAACCTGTAATGCAAAATTTACATCTTCTATATATTTTATTGTTAATACGTAATTTTGAATTTTTCGCAAAACCGCTTGACTAAAATTAAAAAAACATCCATGTATTTCTGTACTTGGAAATTCATTTTTTATGGAGTTAATTACTGCTTTTTTAAAATCCGTTGTAAATGACTTTGGACATAAATCAAACTTAAGCGATTTTAATGCTTGAAACATTTTATTATTCGCTACTTCTTTTTTATCGAGCAACAAAACATACACTAAGGGTACGATTTCACCAGAATAAACTGCACGAATCGTGTATAATTGGCCATATAAATTTGGGTAAGATGAAAACGTTCCATCCAAAAATCAATGATCAAATTTCTTAGTGTGGTCAAACTTTTTTCTGTTGAAAATAATAGATTCGATTGTCATGTCATTATCACCGCTGTCATATAATAAAAATTGTTCATTGTCTAACGTAATTTTAAAATTATTTGGAATTTTAAAATTGTGTGATTGAGGATTTGCAGGACTGGCTTCAACCGTTTTGCTAGCCCGCTGTATTGTTCTTTTCAAACATTTTGTACTCGGTAGCTGTCCTGCCACTGCACATAGTAACTGTACATAGTATTGTATGTAAGTTATATATTTTTTTTCATTTTTGTAGCGAAACGACCATCCGGGCCTTCATCGATGTTTTTTTTTCGCTTGAGAGGGGTAGGGTGTAGTAAGTGGCACTTGTACTCCTTTCTCTAAGAAGAGAATTTTCACGTGTGTGGACTTCTCTCCCAGTGGAGTGGGTCCGGTGGTTGGCAGTGTAGGCAACCAGAATGACCTACAGAAAACTCTGCAGAATATTTTTTGCATCGAGTTGGGTTCCAACTGATGACTGCGTGCGTTGTGGCCAACATTGTGACCATCGCACCACTCTGCCACTCGTATGTTTTATATTTATATTATTTTTGTTTTGCGTCAACATTGACTCGCGTCTAAAAGTGACCGCGTCAAAGTTGCATGTGTCTAATTGACGCATGCGCCCAATTGTCGTTCATCCAAATGACCGCGTTCATTTGATGCGCGTCGAGATTACCGTGTCGAAATGACGGGACACCCAATGGTCTAGAGATGGTATTGCTATAGGGGGAGGGCTAATCATCTCCTGATGAAAGTCGGCGTCTCCAAAGATTGAGGTAATGCGATTTGTTGTAAGCACTTTTTTTTTTATTTGACACCGGATTTCCTAGACGAAGTTAGTGACAATAACGATAAATTAATATACGCGATCGGGTTTACAGTTGTTCAATTAAATTCATCAGCGGAATAAGCGATTACGGACGAGCCAATTAATGAACACCAGTTAATATTGAACGATCACGACCAACGGTTATTAATTATATCATAATTATTAACCAGAAATTTTATGTGGTGCTGTGTAAAAAATAACTTTATCAATGGAAGTCCCCCCGCTGCCGGACAGACGAGTTAATCGGATGTTATGTTTATTTCCATTTGTTCGTCTTGCGAAGATTCTTTTCGCAACGTTTCGTAAAATATTTTTACGTTTATCGTACTTTTAAAATTTCTCGTGAAATTAAAATTATAAAATTACCATAAAAATACAATAAATTTTGAAAAAACACGTTATTTCAAGGGTAGTCTAAATCAGTTACGAAATATTACAATTATTATTTTTTAAGCACAAAGGAATCCAGAAAACAATAAGTAATATTTTCTGCATAAACATTTCCTTTTCTGAACGTGTATTGATTAGTTATTGTACTTCAACTTCGAAATTATATTCAACATGATCAAATATTATTTTCCTACATTTTATGGTAATGTTTATTCACTACGATTACCATTGAATAATATTATAATTTCAAAATTAAATTAACTCACGATTTATTTTCAAGAATAAAATATAGCTTAAGCTCCTTTAAATTCAAATATATTTGTGGTTGGTATTAAATATGTATTTTTTTTTTCGTACGCGAATAACGTTTGAAAACGGTCGCAATCAACAACGAGAAAAAAAAAATCTACCGCCAATATTTGTCAACTCGAATTTAATGCGAAATCGAATTGTTTTTACATGGCTATTATAATTTTTTTTTTTTTTTTTTTAGTGTTAGTTGTTTGATGCGCTCGACATATGGTAGTTGTTGATCTAGTGTTCGAATGACATTGGCTAAAACGTTTTAGTTTCCAATATACCGTACATGCACTCGTTAACCACACGATGACACTTAACGTGTCGGCAGTCGTAATCGTTGTTATTCGATTAAACACTTAATAACATGGTACGGTCACGTAGCTACGAATATTGGTCATTAAATCGAGATCCGTTTGGTTCGGAGCTCGGACTATAAATGTTATACCGCAGCGAAACAATGTCTACCGGCAGTGCCTTAAACGCGTAATACTCGCAGCAAATGTTTCATTTAGCATTCGTCGGTACAGACGATTTTATAATAATAATAATAATAATAATAATAATAATAATAATATATGTGCGTACGTTGTTCATTTGTGCGCAGAACGAAACGACATTGATTTTTCTTTCAATATTACCATATACGTGTAAATGAAGCGTTTCAAACGGACGTTATCGCCAACTCAACGCGATACTTTTGTTTAACTTTAGGTTTCGTTCATACGGCGACGATGGTAATGTATTGTTGTACGGCTGCGCTACGGTTTTCACGTCTTCACGTCTGCGCGCGTTCGGATCGTCTTTTATTTCCGTTTCGAACACTTACATCGAGACGGTGTCGAACAATAATTTAACCGCACGCTTTTCAGATGTCCGAAAATTGTATCGATAATATCGATATATATATGTTTTCGGTTTGAAATCCGAGTATTTGAGAATCAAAACGTTGACACCTGATAAAGAAAAAACTATCACTCGATTAGTTTTTTAGGATTTTCCCAGAACTAATAACCAAATCAAAATATACGTATAATACGCGAAATCCTAATTATAAAGGCTTGACGTGAGAAACGTACGATGTCCTATGGTAAACCCTTAGTTCAAACCACTTCATCTTCCCATTGTGTTCCTTATGAGTCCCCACGCACACTCGGTCAAAATGGTAACCGTTTGACTGTTCTAATAATTTTCTTCTTCTTCATCATCTTGTCAGCCCATTAAAGGCCACATCATAAAACCTCTCCACTTATCTCTCTAATATGCGTCGTCTTTTATATACCTTTAATGTCTTGAACCACGACATTCACCCATTGGCTCCTTGGCTTTCCTATCGGACGCTTTTTGTTTATTTTATTAACTAGCACTTCTTTCATTACTAGTCCGTCCGCTATCCAGAAATGACCAAACCATTCTAGACGTTTGTATTTTATACAAGATAAAATATTTAACCCGTGGCATAATTCCTAGGTATTTAAATACCTCAACTTTTTTGTATCATAATCATCCACTAATATATAGTCTATGGCTGAGCTTTTTCTTACTATTATTCAATAAGTTAAAAGTTAAGTTAATTTAACTTACTAACTTAACTTATTTTTTTACAGATTAACTTAAAATTAACGCATTTTTTTTTTCATTTATCCCAATTAAGTTAATTTTGATTTTCAAGACCAGAAAAATATTTTTGTCAAATATCGTTATCATTTGTTCGATAACAAATTAATGGAATTTAGAAAAATATAAAAAATAAAATCTAAAGGGTTTCGAAGAATTTTGTATTTTTATTTTTATATAAGAACATTATATTGATCATAGTATTAACTAATAGGTCTATTTAACTAAATAAATCGTGGGAAAAGTAGTCAACCGTCTAAAGATTATTACCTAAGTAAGAATAGCCATTCCGTCCATGAATTACATTGTCATGAAAAGTGGCCATATACATATTACATAAATAGTTCCATATTATCATTGGTTAAAGAATAAAATTATTATTATTAGAATTATTCCATAATTGATGATAATTTTAAATTTGTATACCCCTATAACGTAGTGCCTAGGACTAGCACTGCCTATACAACAACACTGATTAGTGATAAATCTACTAATAATATATATCGTTTTCTATGTGTATGTTTGTTTAGTAGTGCATAATTTTTAAGTGTTAGTTGCAACACTATAGAAGTCATACAATTGAACATGGACAATAAACATCCAAGTAAGTTCTATTATCTCAGAATTATTATCTTAACTATCATAATTATTAATTATATTATATTATAAATTATCTTTTTATCCCAGAAATATTTTTAGTATGATGAAATAGTGAATAAATTAATTTAGGTAATATATTGTTATATTATTTATAGCTGACCAAAATGTTGAGATAACTCTCTAACTTAGATATCTTGATTGACCCTATTCATTGTACTGCCTTATTTGTTTTTATTTTAATTAAGTCAATAAGTATTATAAATTTATTTTAATGTTTTGTATCTACTTTATCATCTACATAATTTTATAGTAACATTTTCAGCTGACGTTATTCTTTTTAGTTTTCATACTATTATTGAACATTAAAAATAATAATTTTGTAATTCTACTTTTCAAATGTGATTTGCATGAAAAATGAATAAAATACCATATTCTTTACTGTAAATCTGACATTTGAGTACATTAAAACAATTCCAACGAAGAAATGTATATTTTTTTAGTCTGATTAGAGTTAAATAAAAAATATTTTAAAATTAGATTTTTTATGCATTTTCATTATCTTTTTAATTTAATAACTATAATTAAGATCTGCTGTAAATTTATATATATATATATATATATATATATATATATATATCACTTATATCAACGCTTAATGTATTTTTTTTTTATTAACTTAACTTATTAATTGTAGTTAAGTTAAGTTAACAAAAATGATTAACTTAATTTTAAACTTAATTAATGTGATTCTCATATGAATTAACTTAATTTTTAACTTAATTGAAAGTGAACTCAATAAACTTAACTCAGTTAAAAAATATCATTAACTTGCTCAGGCTTGCTATTATTAGATATTTCGTCTTTTCTTCATGTACACACATGTCTATAGTTTTATTTGCTCTCAATTTTTTTTATTTTTGAATCAAATCTTACCTAACCTACGTCTAAACTATTGAGAGCAAAAGTATGAAATTAATTAAAAATAAATTAGTTAATTATTTATAATATTATACTAGCTGAACCCGTGCACTTCGTAGCCCATTAAAAATCCTAACTCTTATATGTCTCAAAATTTGTGTTAAATTCGTTACCTGTTGTTGAAACTAATAGCAACATCCATAAACAAAAGTTTCCATCGTAAATCTCAAAATGTCTGTAGTTTGTCCTACTATATATAGTTAGATTAGTTAGTTACTATATACTATAGTTTTTCACGTATTGATATTTCATGATAATAATATATTTAAGTATATTTTATACATAATATATTTCTTAACAAATTAATATTTAAAACTGTTTAAATTGCTTAAAATTACTTATAACCAAATTTATAATTATTTAAATAGATATACATCGGTATAAAAGTCAAACTACATGCAAAATGTTCGCTTAATGAGCAAACATTTTTGTCTATATCAAACAAACGGTCGAAAATTGTTCGTTGAATGTTTGACAAAGTTTGCTAGATATTTTTGGTACTCAGCGAACATTTGGTAGATGTTCAACAGACGTTTTTTAATTGGTTGTTAGGTGTGGACGTAGCTTAAAGTACCATATATTATAACAGTACAATAATGACGTCAATATTTTTAGAATTTTATTATATTTGTGAATGTAATACGTACAAGCATAAGTACTTACAAAATAAACACAAAATGGTTAAATGATCGTTTAATATTGATCACCAGAAGTTCATTAAATATTGAAAACCATTACTTATTGTTACGTAATAATTACCTGTGCACTGAAACGAAAAAAGCGTCAAATAAACGTTCAATTTCGCAAAGAATATAATATTTAAAACCATTTCTACGAATGGAAAATATTTATCACTGCACTTGTTCAAACGGTACTTCTACGAAAATGATTTATGTCCATATAAGATCTCAGATTGCTTAGATTATTATTAATCATTAACACTAAGAGCTTTAATTAAAAAAAAAAAAAAAAAAAACGGGTTTTCACCGTATGACGAATGGTATTATGATTATATTGATAATGCTGTTGGGTTTCGAAAATCAATATTTGTTTTACTTATGATCTCCACGTCATTAATCGATAATGGTTAGCGAGTATATAAAATTATGTAAAATTCAATGTTTGTGCTGAAAAAATAAAAATAAAAACACTTCTAACGTCGCGGCAGTAGACCGAATGGCGATGGTAGTTCAATAGTGTTGATGTGCGCGTGTGCACGGACGCAGTGGATGTACATGTATTATCAATACTGCTTATCGTGATTGTGTGAAATACATTTTGCACTCGACCGCAAGAATTATTGAATTATTGTAAACGAATCCGATTGGCGATGGATTGTTTTGACGCTGTAGCGAAATACGCGATTCTTACGCTGTTACACAACGTATTTATTTCAGGTATATATCAGCTGATTTACCGGGTCTTTTCCGGAAGATATTTTACAATTGTAGATCACAGCGGATACCATTTCGATGTTACAAAAAAAAAAAAAAAATCAAAAAAAAATCGAACTATTAAAGTGAACAATTGTCTGATGATATTTGTTTTTATTTTTCCGTAGTATATTTAATTAAGTATATCTCAATCGTTAAGTATGAAAATCAACATAACTAACAAAATAAAAAATTAAATAAAACATTTTTAATGTAAAGTTTTTCCTTACCAAAAAGTGAAAATATATATATACGAATAACGATAAAATATGTTTAATAACACCTATTATCGAGATTACTCGTATAATAGATCTATAAAAAACATTTGTTTTGCGTTAAACGCGTATAATATCTCAATTACTGCGGTCGATGGTTTTCGCGTAAACTGTCGTGCAACAATGCGATTTTTTTACAACAATAATATACTTAACTAACAAATTTCAAAAAGTTCACTATAATCGTATTTATTTTTAAGGTCCGCGAAATTCCAGCATATGTGCACACTCTATTATTATACTATTACATTTTCAATTTGCTGTGGTAAACAACGTTATGTACATAAAAACACTTGCACCATCAAACGTGTATGATACAATATACGTGTGCATTCCCTGTATTATATAATATAATCCATACAAATACATAATGTTGAAATTAGTCACGATAATGTGTTCCCCGATGACAGTTAAAACAATAGTTGTCGTCGCATTGATGTGGACGACTTTATGCCGCTCTCCGGTGCACTGTTTCTTTTTATCGAGTAAGTAAATTCAATTTTCTCGATTACACGAATTTCACTCGTTGTTGGACTGTTTTATTTCTTCGATTCGTTCGCAGTATTCGTTATGAATGGAAAAAAAGTTACTGTCATTATGGTTTTTTTTTTTCAATTAATAATGAAATTGTGTTGTCATATTTTTATATCGCATTTAATTTAAATTCATTTTTGAAAATTTAAATTAAACACTTTTCTTAAACATTGCATAAACTCGATCAGTAGTGTCAATTTACATCATTGCCTAAAACCATTTTGGAAACAACAACAAAATATTCAACAATGCCTAACATCATCAGGAAATGTCAACAATGACTATGGAATGATGAAAATTCCTAAATGATAATCTTTTCCAATAACATATAAATATATATAAGTTGTATACTCTATGTGAATGTATGGCATAAGACATTTAAGAGATAAAATTTATCCCAAGAAAAAAGACTCACCTTAATTATGTGCAGTGCCGTCATTTGGGGGAGGACAACTTATACATTTGCCGCAATCCAGAGTTTTGATACATTATCAAAATATAAATACATCTTTTTTAAAGTCATTGGCACGTTGTAAATGAGAAAAATTCAAAATTTTAAAAATGAACACAAAGCCACAACCGAATAGCCAAATACACCATTGTTAACACTTAAGTCGTTATACACGTATAAATAAAAAACCATTATATTTTTAGACCAGTTTCATGTCCCCTTCCCCTCAAGTTAATCGGTATTTTGGTAAAATGAATCGTTAAATCGTCAATTGCCGACTGCTCTATTATATAAAAAACTGAAATGACGCCACTGGTTGCGTGTGTGTATTTCAGTAATGTATCTAATAATGTATGTGATAAATAAATAAATCAACCATGATCTGTTATCTAATTTACTTAATTAAAATTATTTAAAAAAATTAACGTATTTTTTATATCGATATACATTTTGAAAAACTTAATAACTCAACACTTGGAATTTCAAACATGAATCTATTGTAAATTATTATTTTTTTAAAAGTTGTAAAAATTATTCATTTTGAAATTATATAATGAGCATTTTTTTTCAGATCCATTTAACAATGTGCAAAGTTTATCAACGTTTACTACTCAACCAATTACACTAAAAGTGCCCAAAGACCAAATCAATAATTTAAAACAAGGTAAAAAAATAACACTTTTAATTTTTAATGTTGTATTAACGGTTCTTAAATCATAAAATATTGTAATCAAAGTTTCACATAAAATATTTGACATTTCGATGATAAATGTACGGTTGCTGATGCCTGGTTGTAACTCAACCTAAGAAATATTTATATATAACCATGTTCGTTAAAAACTTTTTATTAATTTACAGAGATTCAAACAAATCCGATGTATTTACAACAATTACTTTCTCAATCTGGCAGTCCAAATGGATTCGGACAGCCGGTTTCTCTAACGCCTAATGCGGTAGGAGGAAATAGAGGTATATATTTGGGATAAAATACATTTATAAACTAATTAATATAGTCTAAAGTGTTTTATTGGGAGTAGCCGAATTGGTTCCCGTTTGAAAAAGGTATTTAATTAGGTATAGCCGAATTAGTTCCCGTTTGAAAAAGATATTTTATTAGGTATAGCCGAATTGATTCCCGTTTGTGTACAGGTAAAATAGTGACAATTTTAATTTTTATCACAACTTACCACAATTCACCCTGTATTGACAAGACAACATATTGCTGCGAATCGTTCCATTCAAAGCTGGATAAAGAATTTATAAGTACATATCTTAATATATTTTATTTTATCGAAACTTTAAACAGCATTCAGACACTAAATAATATTAAATTTCAAAGTAATAATCAAAAGAAACTTACCAGCAAATAGGAAAGAAGTAAAAAATATTTGGAAAATTGTATGATTGACTAAATTAATAAGAAGATTACAAGAAATTAATATTTAAAGAAAGTTAGCTTCAAATTTACAAATAAATTGTTATAAATTGTATTTATTATATTTTATTATTTGTATTTAAAGTGATGACAAGTTGACTTCCAAATCATCGATTTAAAATGGTAGATATTTTATCATTTTTTATTTTTCAATACTCATTAACGTTAATTTTTAACCAAACCTACTTTAAAGTTGACAGCCCTAAGCTTGTAAAATTGAGAAAGAAAATGTGCGTAATTAAATGGGAACCAATTTGACTATACCTAATATAAATACCTTTTTCAGGTGGGAACCAATTCAGCATGTGTGTTTGGGAACCAATTCGGTACCAGTCGTTTTATTTGGGATATAAAATAATTTTAAATTGTTCGAATATTACTCCGGAACAGTGATGTAGCCAGGGGAGTTTTAATGGTTCAAACCCACCTTTCAAAAAAATTAAAAAAAAAATAAATGTTGAGGTGGCTGGTAAATTATTGTGTACTGATAAAGTTATTGATTTTCATTATGTAGTAATAAAATCGATTTTTATTTTTTTCTTATTTTATTTTAATATAAACATTATAGTTCTCAAATTTAATAACAATAATAAGACGTGACTCAAAATAAATATATTTAAAAGATGTACTACGTTATCGTTTTTACTTATCCATGAATATTTATAGGAATGGACAACAGACTAAAATAATAAAAATAATAATATTACCTTGTAGTATTTATATAATTACACTACACTGTCCGCATGACGGTAAAATCTGGGAAAATATTTTACTGGAATTATACAATTTATTATGATTAGTGGAGAAAAATAAATAAACACAGTATTCTATATACTTACCTACAGAATAATTGTAATAAATGTAATGTATACTATTAGCACTTACTCTAACCCTGTCTGATGTAGAGGATATTTTGCTTGTTATAACAAGTAAAATAAAACACAATATATTGTGTTTGCATTTATTTATTTTCACTTTTAATATGGATAACAAAAAGAAATCCACAAGTACAATATTATATAAAAAAAAATAATACTGAACCAGTGATTGTTGAAAACAAGATTGTTTCTTTTACATAAGTATCACATGAGGTAAGTAAATTGTAAATAAGTATTAAACTGTGTTATTACAATTATTAGTCAATAATTGTTTAATAAACTTTAAATATGCATTAGTTACTCAAATTTATCATTTTAGAATACAAAAAAAAAAATTCAATCGTCGGAGAAAAAATTCTCCTGCGAAGAAAGTATAATGTAATGGAAAGTAGATTTATTTTTCAGATTTGCTTATATGAAAATTAGATAAAAACTGATTTTTCAACAGAAGAAATAATTAACGAATTTGATAAAAGTTCAAGGAAAATATGATTTATGTAGTTATATTGTAATATATCATTTTTATTACCACAAAAAATATGTTATACTTATTTAATAAACTATCTCTCCCCTTGAAAAAATGTCTGACCACGTCACTGCTCCGGAGTATAACGTTCAAACTGGTAAATCTACAGGGACTGCTCTGTATAGAGTATAAACATTAAATTATAAAATTTGATATAAGTATTTGGAACACGTTGCTTAAAATTATTGTTATGATGTACGCTTATCTTCAAAAGTACATCTTAATTTTAAACCAATCGGAAGTGTATCCGAAGAAAATAGTATACTCAGAGATCACAGGAATAGATCCAGGGGCCTCAATTATTCAAACTTTATGAGAATGATGATGAATATAGTACTTACGCGTTAAAAATTCAATTTTTCTCGGTGCGAATCAATTGATCAAATTTTTTACAGTCGAAAAACAAATGGTCGAATATTTTATGGATTTTATGGTATATTTTATTTTATTTTATTTTACAGTCGAAATGTTTTGCAGTCTAATGGGTTTTTCGGTCGAAATAAAGATAATAATTAGATTATCGACTATTTTATTTAATATTTTTAATATATGTAGCCCGTATGTAGATTTACCGTAGTAGGTACTAATAGGTAGAGTGTTTATTGACTGTTCAGTATGCGTTAGTTTTAATTTTTTATATTTTAATGTGAATATTGATATTGTACTTAACACTCATGAAGAAATGTTGTTAAATATAAGTAGTTGCATGTAAAAAAAATATGGTACGTAAAACTGATGGCAATAATTACTTTGAAATATATAGTTTTTGACCATAATATATTTCGATTGCATAACATTTTGATCATTTGAATTGTCGATACTATATTTTTCGACCAGACTACCTTTACCCGATTTTTCCAATAATTAATTATAACAAGCCGTCATAATATTTACATATTCTGGGAACCATTGAATATTCGTAAAACTGTGGGTCAAATCTTCTTGGACAAAATGTCGAAGAGTATATCGTCGATCGATTTACATATCATTATGAGATGGCATAGCAAGTGATATTAAAACTCGTTTTTGTTCAGGTGAATTGAAGCGTTTGATTTAAGGCTGTTAATTATAAAATTAAAAAAGAAAAAAATTAATTCATTAATATTATAATTATTAAGATGGTAAAACATTGTTTGCCTATTCCATCAAATCATGCAGCCGGTCTACATATACAAGATAGGTATTATTTTGTAACAATTTTTACTAATAAATAACTACATTTTATTAAAAACTAATTTAAGATATTATTCAAAGGTGAACTTGAACTCTGGATAAAACACCGGAAGAGTAATAAAGTTTTAAATAGTATGAATTAGTTACTATCAACAGTAATAGATGCACTAAGTGAATGCGATAAAAATATATTTCCCACAATATTTAAACTTCTCACCTGGTATGTTATCTATAATTGTAGCAACTTCTGAGAGAACTATCACCACTTTAAGGGGAGTAAAACTTAGCTTCATTTAAGGATGCAAGAAGATCGTCTTACCGTTTTACCTCATTATGTTTATTAAATATTCATTGAGGTAGGGAATTAAATGTTAACTTAATATTCGTTTTACTTAAAGGAGTACTAATAGGCATGTTGATATTGTAATTTAATACCTGCTTGTGTTACTCTATTAACAAGCAAGTTTATACCTAATTATTTTTTGTTGATTATAATTTTTAATAAATAAAGGTTTTATTAAAATATAATGTGTATATAATAAGATACTGATATACATATATTTATAATATATATGTGTATATTTGATTTATTGTAGTTTAAGCAATTTCCCCCAGACTTTAGCATTGAATCCGTGCCTGTGAGATCACAATATATTTATAACAAGTAGATGAAATATATAATATAGTATAATATAATATGGTAGAATATATACGTAAATATACATTATTATTTATTAACACTATGTGTTATTAGATATTATTAAAGCGAAAGAAACTTTTAATTACAATCATGAATTTTCAAAGCGAAAAAAATATATTTTTTCTAATCTGTTTCAGGACTTACAACCTTACCATCATTAAATTATGGCTACCCGTCTGTTGGCCAAGGCCCTATTACAGTAGCATTGCCTAAAGTAACTACGGTTGGTGGTCAGAAATACTTTTTGACTACAAGAGCGAATTTGCTTTGGAATAAAGGAGCTAATTTTTTTAAAAATTTAGCTTCAACGGTTGTGTCGCCTTTATCAACTAAATTGTCGCCAATGATTCATGTCAATAATGACAATGGAATCAATCAAGGAAATGTGGGGAAAATAATTACAAATAAAGAAAGAATAACTGAAGAAGATGATGACGATGGTGATGAAGAGGAAGAAGAGAAAGAAGAAGAAGAAGAAGAAGAAGAAGAAGAAGAAGAAGAAGAAGAAGAAATACAAAGTGCAAAAAAATCTAGAAACAGAGGAAACATTAGGAAAAATAATTATAACCCTAGGAAGAATAAAACTAAAATTAAAAATGACAGTATTCCCGAAGAGAGTAGTGAGAGAGAAAACAGTGGCGACTACGAAGAGCAGTCGGAAGAAAAAAGTAAAATAAAAAAAAATAATGGTAAAAAAAAAAATGGTAGAAGTCCGATAGAAAGACATGACGGAGATAGTGCTAGTGCTGGTGCTAGTGCTGGTGATAGTGTTAGTGCAAGTTATAGCGACAATGCTAGCGAATAAACTAATAATGAAAATAATAAGGTGCATCATTAAGACAATATTTAAAGTAAAATTATTCAGTGGCTTTCAATCGAACGAAATAGAGAGAAATAATGATATTTGAAAAAATTGTATCACAAATATTACAAACAATAATGTTAATTAAAAATTATCGTGATTTTAATATTGAGATAAAAATATACCCACTCACAACACTTAAAATTATTATTTAAAATTTGTATTATATCGAACAATATGTTTTTCATTTGATGCGTGACTTTTTAAATGAAGAATAATTTCATGATGGAAACTATAATTAAATGAAATAGTTCATTTTGTTTTAGTATTTTTCATTAAAAAGACCACGAAATGAAATAAATAATCTTGTTAGCTTTTCGGAACATACGACATGTATTATAATTAAAGTTTGGCCTAAAAACCATATCAACTGCTTATACGGGTATGACTTTTTTTTTGCACATTGTATAATTTATTTATATTTATGTATGATTTGCATGTAGAGTTTTTGAATATCTTCAGAGTCTATGCTTGTAACAGTATACAGGACAGCAACGTTCTGGTTTTAATATAGGAAAATTTGTGCCTATTTGTATAAATCGTTTATCCTCTCTGTTTAAATAAATCATTATTAACTTTTTAATTTCCAAGCGTTAAGTAACATAATGAGTATATTACATTTACAGATTCTTATTTTTCTCAAAATGTTTTTAGTATCGAACTAATTTACCAATTGACCAAAGATTCATTATCTATAATCATATAAGGTAGGGATGGGTTACCCATCATGGATAACTGGCGCGCTGCATTCGATCCGCGTAATTTTTTTATCTGGCCCGCGCTACATTTTCAAATTACTTAATAACATTTCAGTATTTATCAGTAATTAATTTGATCACGTTGATCGTAAAATGTAAATATTATCTTATTCTCTAGTATTGAACTACAGCTAATTTATTAAATGTATAAAATAGGTATATACTTGTATATTGGCATAACTAACGTAGCTATAGGTATTGGGTAAGAATTGTATTGGTTTAGTCATTAAATTTAATTACATAAAATAAATGCTAATTGTCAATTTTAATGATTTTTTTTTTAATTTTAACTTTCTTTATTCTGGTCCGTCAGATTTTAAAGCTCTATAAATTGGCCTTCGTTAATTTGAGTTGCCCATCTCTTTATATAAAGTATTAACTGCAAGTACACATCAATTTTTTTTTTTTGCTATCAGATTTGAAGTTATTTCGCAGTTCGTACAGATTTAAATTGAGTACAATAAAATACGTCCCATAAGATAATATTTATAAGATAGCGATTTCAAATTTAAACAATAATAGGTTGCCGTATAACAGTACCGAAACCGAAAGTAAGTAATTATACCGACTATTCAATTAAAAACAAAAATGAGAATCTTTTAAAAAAGACACCTTATGTTAGTTTTTTGGACTTCGGAGCACGAAAAATTAAACATATAATCTTCTGAAATAATTCGATTGAAACTGTGTTAAAGTCAGGGACTGGAACCTATAGGTTTTTTCGGTTCCAATCTCGGGTTTGGTTGTTCAATTAATTTTTTAAGGATTCCGATTTCAGTTTTTTAAAAGAGTAAGGGTTCGAGAACCGGTAATTTTGGTTAATTTTGATTATTAAAAATTTATCAAAAAAATAATATGAAATTATTTATTTATTCTTATTTAAATTGTAATTGTATCATTTGTATCACTTCAGGGTTCTGCGAAACTTAAGTAATTTCTTTAAAAATGTTAAGAAAATTACTTTAAAATTTCCAACTAAAGATAAGTAATGATGAAAAAATGTTTGCATAATAGAAAAAAAATCTTTGTATATTAAATAACAGTGTCTAAGCCATATGGAATAATCTAAATTTATATTTACTCTAATTAAAGTATTATTATATATGTATATACAATTATTATTATTTTTATTTTTATTTTGAAATATTTTTTGAATTAAATATCTTTAAGAGGACGCTACACATGTACATTTTATAGTCAAAATAGTGCGTTCGTATTTCAAGTGCTACGAAGTCTTCAATTAACATACAGACATTATTAATACACCGTTGGAAAGATGATAATATTTACTATGTTTTGTTGGAATCAAATTATTTAAATTGTACTTTTTTTCTGCAAAATTTCGCAAATCAAAAACTTCTTTTGTACTATTTTGTAATGTCTTAAAGCTCGCTTGTGAATCATTTTTTCAAAAATTGGTTACCAACAAAACATAGTAAATTATATCTTCTTTCCAGCGGTGTATTAATTATGCGTCTCAGATCGTTCAATACGTCGTAGTACTTGAAGTTCGAAAAGGGTTTCACAAGAAAGTTTATAATTATTTTCACCGACTAGTAGCGCTGCCACGCGGCCAGCTAAACGCTGTGCGGTTAATTGCAATAGTGGCGACCCCCGTCCATTCCCACTCTACAACGCAATAATGAGTTCGTACCACAATCTTGATAGAAATTAAAAATAAAACTACTGCGATAGCGATGGGTGCTAATAATATTCTACTAACCCTTATATGATTGCGATGATTATCAGTTTATCTAGAAATTATTTATCGTCAAAATTTTGACGAGTTTAGACTTTTGACAGACAATACTAATTGTTTTATGTGTGTCAATCCTATGTCATCAGTTGACAAGATACTTTTTGTTTTTTGCTGTTTTTAAAAAATTCTTATTAAATACAATTATGGACGACTTTCTGGAGTGCAAAAAAAAGCGAACAGCACAGTCAAGGCTTAAAAGTCGTAAAAAAATAAATATATGTAGATTAAATAATTTAAGGAAAAAATCATCAAAATGGTAAGTAATTATTATTAATATTAATTATTTTATTCAACTACTATACAGTTTGTACCTACTTATTGGTTATTTTATTACGTACACGTACCTATATTATTTTTATACACAGGGAACCTAGTACTCAAGGGACTGATCTATTAGAAACCGATAGAACTATAGCTTCGCCAATTATGTAAGTAAAAATGAATCATTATAATTATTAAAAAATATTTAATTATTAATTATTTATTTAATTACTAGCTGACCCGACAAACGTTGTTTTGTCATATAAATTATTTCTAGAGAATATTTTGCTAGAAAAAAATAACTAATTAAATATAGGTACAGCTAATTTTACAACAATTAACAGGTACATTTGGTAAACGTTATTCAAAAAAACGTCGAGAGAATAAGGAGCAATACACAAATTCGGAGAAGGAAATTATTTGAAACAGGTATAAAGCGAAATAAATCAACTGCGGTTAGATTTAATGCATCAGACATACACTATGGCTTGGCAGAACCTTTAGACAACATTCCAACAGAAGAAGAATTAAATATAAAAAAACAATTTTTTTTGGACAAGTTGGGTAAGATTGATCGATATGAGCTAGAACGTACTACAAAAGATCAAAGCCATAGTCAAGAGTGGTACACTGAAAGAAAAAAAAGGCTAACTGCATCCAACTTTGGCGATGTTTGTAAAATGCGAACAAGTACAAGTTGCCAAAAAAAAGTTTACTCCCTACTTTATAGACCAAATACAATGACTAAAGAAATGACATATGGTGTTGAAATGGAACGTCTTGCCAGAAATAAGTATGAAAAATTATATGGTGTTTCAGTTGAAGCATGTGGATTGTTTGCTGACATAGAATTCCCTTTTCTAGCTGCAAGTCCTGGTAATAGTTGGTATTATTTATTTTAGTTATAATTTTATCAACTATTATGCTTTTTTTTAGATGGTCTAATTGACGAAAATTGTATTATAGAAATAAAATGCCCATATGTAGCAAGAGAAACCACTACAATCCTTGAAGCCATAGAAAATAAACTAGTAAGAATAATTACTCTTAGTAAATTTCATATTATAACTAATAATTACCACTTGTTCATTTTTAATATTTAGTTACAGTGCTGCACAGTCGAAAATAATGTTGTAGAACTAAAAAAGAACCATAAATACTATTTCCAAGTTATAGGGCAATTGCGAATAACTAATCGTACTATATGTCATTTTGTAATTTTTACTCCAAACTGGATAAACGTTCAAAAAATCGAATTTGATGAGATATTTTGGAAAACAAAAATGGAGGAAAAATTGAAAACGTAAATATTACTTACTATGATAATGGATAAGATAAAAAAAAAAAAAAACATTAATTTTAATATTTTAATGTGATATTTAGGTTTTATTTGGATTGTCTATTACCCGAAATTGCATGTCCACTTTATGGAAAACGCCTAGAATTAACTGACATCAGAGAACCCAGATACATTTTAAATGAAAAAGAAAAAAGAAAAAAGAAAAAACCAAAAGATAAAAAACGGAATTAGCACGGCTTATATAATAGTATAGCTTATAATATAATTCAATATATATTACTATTTATTTAATTTTTAGATTTTTTTACATACCTATGTCCTATAGTATGCTTACACTCTACAATTCTACCTAGTCTATAACATTATAATGACCAAACAGTATAGTGAATACGTGCAGATATTAAAAATATTGCAAAATAATTATTTACATGCAGTAGACATTTATATCAACGCAGTATATACATTATTATCAATAATAATTCGATAACTGTGAGTCAATATATTATGTTGTATTACCGTTTTTACTATCTATAATAATGTATTGCTGCATAAATTTATTTAAGCAGTAACTTTCAATAAAAAAAATATATAAAATATAATATAATATAATATATAATAGGTATTAATATAATTTTAATTAATTATACCTATATTTGATTTTTTTAAACAAAAAGTAATATGTATCTACTCCAAAAGAATTTACGAATGATTACAATAGCTAATATTGTAGTTTTTTTATTTAATTATACTTGAAAAAGTAATTATTCAATAAATACAAATCAAGCTTTGTTATAATATAGTTTATATGATCTATACAATGTTACATATATTAAGGTAAGCAGTGACTTAAATTGTAATCAGTAGATCATGGGTAAGCTTGAACATAAAATAATACGGCGGCATTTACGTGTATGCATTTTATATTTACGCAATCTGCCACAGACGAAGGTTGAGAAAATAATAAGCGTCGCTCCCGAATGAGCACAATTGTCGGCCGGCCGCCGATGACGAGTGGTGGGCGCGGCTTAAACGTCGCGTGCATGCGCATCGTGAAAACACCTAACAGCGCGTTCTCTCGGTCGTTGTATGCGTTTTGTTTTCGGTGTGGCGTCCTCTTAACACAATATTATTAAATGATTATAATTTATTTACAAATAATCCTAAAAAAAGCTAAAAAGTTAAAAAAAAGCAAGAATTCCACGATAAATGTGGACATTAAAAAGGGTTCCACGGATAAAAAAGTTTAAGAAACGCTGATATAGTCATTGTAAATTGTAATATATTAATAAATATACAAAAATAATAATAATAATATTACAAATTTACTAATAATTAGTAATAGTGTAATTAATATAATTATTATATTAATTACACTATTACAGTTTATAACATAAAATAATAAAATCATAAAATTTGACTTTTATTTTTCTGAACCGACAAATGGACAAACAAAATAGTCATTAACATAGTTTCACTGGTCTGAATAACTGACATAAATTAACCGTTTCATAATTAAGGTTATGGTTGCGGTTTTTCATTTTTGGAAATAAAGGTTCCGGTTTCAGTTACAGTTAATAAATTTTAAAGGTTAACCGGTTCTAGTACCAGTTCTTTACGGTTACGGTTCTGGTCCTTGGTTAAAATATGATTAGTTTTCCGCGTTACAGTCTGTATAGATTTTACCAACTACGACAGTGCTTCCCAAACTTTTTTGACTCACGGCGCCCTTTTTGATTTAAAGTTTTTTCAAGGCGCCCTTCTCTAAGTCATAGCATGACTAATCATAAGGAAAATGTTAGACCCGATAGTATTTCATGATGGCGCGGCGCCTTTATACAGACATCACGGCGCACCGGGGCGCCGCTGTGCACACTTTGGGAACCTATGAACTACGAGTATATATAAACGTGAATAAATCGCTATTTGATTCACATGGAAAACATACCTGATGCTGAGAATTAAACTTTAAGTTTGTCACACATACGACTAATCATGCGTCGTACTATAAATACAAATGGTATAATATTATAACAATTAACCGTAACACATACACGAGCAATAATGCTTTACGTATTAGCATGTTGCACATTTATGCGTCGCCTGAGAGTAACTTATTTGCAATTACAATAATATGTAGGTAGAGAATACTTTCGAGGATTTTTTTTCAAACTTTTTTATTACACGTGAACGCTTTTTAAAACGATACAAAATACAATATAATACAAAAAAACAAGACCAGTGGAAAAATGAAACGCCGTCTCATCCTTCAAAACTTTATCAATATTGATGGTGAGATAACAATGCTGTATTATTTAACAATGATTTTTTAATATAAATCTTCCACATTGAACTATAAAAAAATTCGAAAATCGTGTAAACGATTTTTTTATACTCATCATTTCTGTATTCATCTCCAAGCTAAAATAAAAATAATCGTAAACACGCCGATCACGCTAAACACATTATCATCTGAGTTTGAGTGCTACGGAACGTAAAATTCATATTACTTTCGCGAACTATTTTGTACACGTTTCAAAAGTAAAACCTGATCTACCTTTCTCCCTCACACTCTTTTTGGGGCCCACACGTCCAAAACACAATACGATCATATTGCCGCCCAATAACGATTTATCGAAACTTTATTATTATTATTTATTACACGGTCGGGGAATATTGTACAGCAAAACGACAATAAATAAATTGTAATCGATAATAATTAATCACATGTCCTTCGTTCTTCAAAGATGTGTGACAAGAAAAAATCTTAGTAAAGCTAATAAACGATAACGATGTATTGTAAATTAAATTATATGCAATATAATAATTTAAACTGTTTGACTTTCATTATATTTTAACCATTATAAAAGTTCAATTCAAAAATTATACGCGTCATAGTAATGTTATACGAGTATTTGTACGAATCTATACCTCGTTAACACTTTTTGGTTTACTTATAAGGCTGCGAGCTCATTGGATACGAATTTGTTTCGTACAAAAACGTAAGAATTGAGAGCGTACACTGAATACGTTTTTTTCCATAAAATAGTTCGTAATCAAAATCGTACGAAAACGAATCCAATATGCGCGCGGCCTAAAACGTAATCGATGCACTTTACACGCAGAAACATTATCTCGGTACCAAAATAAACTATATATATATATATACGTAAATCACAGTGAAATTGTTTGATAAACAATCTTCACAGTAAAACAAAATTATTTCAAATAAAGCATTGCACATACGGCTAAATAGTATTATCTTAGTATCAGCCTTTAGTATTGATTTTCTGAAGCATATAATTGTGCATTATAATAATTAAATTTTTGTTTATGCACAATCAAAGCAACTAAAGCCTGAAGCCAATTTAACGTCATGTAAGACTTGTTATCTAATAAAACGGTTGTACGAATAAATAAATTACAAACAAGAAACGTTTAAAAGACATTAAGTTGAGAAAATATGAAATAAAATAAAACAATACCTTACCATTTTCACATTGAAGTCATAACATTATTTCTGTATATTCATGTATAAAAATTGAACGAAATTATAATCACAGGACGTTTAGCGAATCTGCACGTAACGATCGCTCGAGGCATATTTGATGGTTGTCTCATCAAAACCGCCGGAAATGTTTTCATTCGTTCCGGAGAGCACGGACTGTTCGCAAAACAGTAGTACTATAATAGAGTTTTTTGTCGCCGAACTTTTTGAATTTTTATTAGTAGCACCCGACGCGCAGAGAAATAGGTTGAAGGCTGACGTGATATTAAACGATTTCACGTTGCATATTTCGTTAACAGATCGGTAGCAGATCTTTCCGTTTTTCGCTCTGTTTGGCGCAGTTGACAATATTGGAAAAACTTGGGCGAAATTCAATTTCTCCGTCAAACGACCTGAAACCAAGTACGACCCGTCCTTTATCCTTTATTCAACCAGTCGGTCTACACTGTTTCCATGGTATTCCCTTAGCGATTGTTTAGCATCGATGTTAACAGAAATTCATTTTATATTCTTGGAAAGGTTCGTTTTTCTTGTTGCTTTTCATCCCAATGAAAGGAACTTTCATTTTCCGGTTCGATACGATAGCATATCAATTTAATTCATGGTTCAAATTCTCTTTTACCTAACCTATCAAAAAAAGTTTTTAACCCCTCACATTTAAAAATCCTAGCTCCGCCACTGACGATTGTAACAGGTAACGTAAAATGACTTTCTATGGCTTGAAAATGTAAAATTCTTAGAAACCGTATATGATAGCTGTCATCATCCTGTTGATGAAATGTGTTTAGATCAGGTATCGAAAAAATTATCTAAATGAAGATCAATTGTATGACAACTCAGTACATACATTATAAGTACTCATATGTGACTACTATTAAAATTTTAATCCACTATTTCTTAACCATAATAAAATAATCATAAAACCTTTCTTGTTACAAAGTTTTGAATATAAATGAAATGTTTTTATTGCTTAAAAGTTATACGTTATACTTGCATTTTACTATTCATCTAGTCTTATAATTTTTCAGAAAATCTTATCCCCCCCAATATACTCATACTAACGTTGGAATTTTCAGTAATAATAACAGAAAATTATGATTTTTGGATTATTTTTTTTTTATATTTCTTATTACCTGTTGCAATATTGGCTATTGGGACTAAATTATGTCACATGTTATTCATATAAACAAAATTAAATTAAAGTTAAACATCCAGTTACTTATTATACATTTTTTAATGGAGAATACGATAAACTTAATAGAATAAAAATAAAAATTATTTAAAAAAATTATTTACAATGTGGTGTATTATATTTTATTTTAGAGTTCCGCTATTTTTATGAATTCAGTGTTAACTCCGATTGAGATTGGATTTTTATTGTGAAATCCGATGATTCCTCTTGTTTATTTACGTATTTTTTGATATTCGAATATAAGAAAAATACCGTCATTATGTAAGGAGAAGGGTTAGGTCACTATTATTCATTAAGTAGCTAGTTTTTAGAATTTTTAATATACATATATTACAAGTATGGTTTTTTTCATGCATTTAAATATTCGAATAAAATATATTACGAATTAAGCGTTTCAAAACTCGTGGTTTTATACAAATATAGTGTAAATATGTTATATTTATATTTAATATTTAAATAGCAATTATAAAATTAATACCTACCTCCTATATTATGTTATAATTACTATCGATCAATATTTTACAAACACGATCGTTTATCATTTCATTAATATTATTATGGTAGGCATTTTTAATTTCTAACATTTCAAAAATACTTAATTAAAAGATAGAGAGTGACAGTCAATATTATAACTGATTAATATTTTTTATATTACGATTTGACTGTCTCAATACAAAATTATTAACATTTA